TTTTTTTATAAAACTTGATAAAATATGTAGTTGAAAAGATATAAATCCTAATTTTATGATATTAAAATTAATTATTGATTTTGAGTAAAATCTACCAAATAGGGGCTTAAAAAGCAGGAAAATAGTGGGGAAAAAAATGAAAAGAAGCATGATGTGCAAAATCTCGTCATAAATGGCTTTTCAGATAATAATCCATGACAATCTGGTCACAATGTCTTGTAACCTGTCACTAGTACAAAAACTGTCACTTGCAACATGAAATTAAATTCTTGCAGAAGCTCAACAGTATTCATGAAATACAAGCATAGTTTTTGCAGAAAGACAATAATAAAGATTACATACATAGGGCAATTTTAGGTACCTTTTTTTCTCAAAATGTATCATAGATGATGCAGTGACTAAAATTGGTAGTAGAAAAGACCGCATGTGAAATGATATTTTGAGTTGGCAACAACTTTCACGCAGACTCACTTGAATTTGGTGGTGGTAATGCATGTTGCTGTTCTGGCGGTGGCTTCTTTCGCTTCTTTTTCTCGTAGCTGATTCCCCGAGCTTTCGACTGCAAATCACGGACTTCGCGCAAATAAAGCCTCACTGCTCTGGCCCCGAAAGGGTTCGTTTCAGGCTTGCCTCCATTTTCTTCATAGGCAGCCCGAAGGCGGCCTATAAGGGCATCAAGGCTTCCCCAGGCTTGGCGCAGGGGGCACGGACATGGTGCAGGCGGATTTGGGTTTCCAAAAAAGGGACAGAGTGGATTGTGAACCTTAGTCTTTCCAAACTGATCTAAGTATCTGAGGAATTCAAGGACATGGGCTCCACTGCAGCGGGAGAGGGAGAGTGGCGGCCTGTGGTTTCGAAGGTACTGGCCAAAGGTGTTCCAGTCACGGCGCTTCTGGTTCTCGTACCGGCTTAGAGTTGTCGGAGATGCGGCTGTGGAAGAGGAGCCAGAAGGTGAATCCATCATTGAGTTGGTACTGTTGAGGGGGGTATTAATGGTGAAACTGGTGATTTCTGTGCTTGCACAGTCTATTTTTTGAGTTGGGTTCATGGCTGCTCTCCTGATCTAGACTCAGAGAGAAGAAAGAGAGGTGCAGTCACTAAGCCACTAGGGCATCCAGTTCAAACATACAATTCTTGATCAAGAAAAACAAACTGCAACAACTAGGCTACATTTTTTTTTTT